ATCTAGATTTGCTGGTTTGCTTAAGTCTAGTTTTTGCGTAACTCTTAAAAGATCTAGATTGACCTAGAATCTGAAATCTAGATCTATTCTAGATCTAGATAAATCACAAAGATTTATATAAAGTAATTAAGGACTAAAGTAGTTTAATAAAGAAACTCAAAAATGTATCATGATTTCAAAATTGATTGTATTTTTAACTAATTAATCTTTGCTTTACCTAGATTCTAGATCTAGATGTACACATAACTTTCTTGGACAGATTGTAGAGCTAGAGAAATTTATTGTAAAACTAAATGAAAAAGACAGTTTAAAATTAATATTATTGTTGGAACGTAATAAAAACATCAAACGGGCGTATTGTTAAAGTTATGGCCGACAGAAAATTAGCCTATAACGCGTGAAAGATCTGAATAAGATACGAATAAGATACGAAATCTTGTATTGGACCGCCATTTAATTGTACTAAAAAGTAAATAAATCATGTGACGTCACTATTCACTCCAAGTAAAGTCGTTTTTCTAAACTTTTAAAATTAATGTGGTTAATCTACCAATGAATAAATCAATAAATTAATTAACCTGTTTAAAAATTGTGATTAACATTCTGTCTGAAAAACAAAAATTGTTCTCTACCTACATACTAATTTTTAGCTCTAAACATAGCGCAGATCCTCTACAGTAGTAGTCAATCAGACAAACAAAAAAAAACCAAATATATAAATAAATATTCAAACATGTAAACAAACTTGAGTTTTAGCAGTATAATAGACTTACCCGGTCATCTCTTGGATAACTGTGGGTTTCAGGGGTTATCCATAAATAACATCACGTCACAGGTGATTTTTTAAAAGTTCTATTAATTTTAATGATACCAATTATTCAATTTATTCTATTACGGTAACAATTGTAGGCACGGAGGCCCTTTTTCAAATTGGCCGTTTTAAAATAAACAAATAAAAACAACAATTTAATAACAGCATTTCAAAAAAAATAAATAACAATATCGTAGTAATAGCAGTTACATAGCACTAAAAATGTGGAATAAAGAAATAATATTACATAGTTATAATACAAGATGAGATAAAATAAAAATACAATACCGACTTTAAAATTTAGCCTTCATTCTTCAAAGCAAATTATAAAATGCTTTTCTGGCATACCTAGCCCTGGCCACCCATAGCATGTTTAAATAACGCGAAAACCCGCCATTTTACTCGTGGTAAACATGGCCTAAAAAGGTCGGAAGTCATGCGTCCGGTCCGGACGCCATATTGTTGTTAGCAGCCGACCACGCCTCCGAGTTAGCGAGTAATCCCACTATATCTAGATCTAGAACCTAGATAAATAAATCCCATATATTATCGAATTAGATGATCATTGAAGCTAAACAAAGGTTTATATAAAATAATCAAGGCCTGAAATATATTCTAGATGTAGAATTTACATTAAGTTTAGATCTAGAATTTACGTTGTCTAGTGACCTAGATCTAGATCTAGTCTAGATCTAGATATAGATTCATCACTTATTCTTCCTTCGGCAGCTGATCAGTAGATCTAGAGAAATTTATTGTAAAACTAAATGAAAAAGACAATTGAAAATTGATACAAGTGTTGGAGCGTAATAAAAACAGCAAACGTACGTATAGTTAAATATATAGCCGACAGAAAATTAGCTTTAGAACGCGTTAAACTTTTGAATGGGCCACAAAGTCTATGATGGAAGCCGCCATTCTATTGTACTAAAACGTAAACAAATCATATGACGTCACTATTCAGTTAAAGTTAAGCCATTGTTTTAAAAATTTAAAATTAATTTGGTTAATCTATCTATGAATAAATCAATAAATTAATTAACGTCTTTAAATAAATTTGTGATTAACAGTCTGTCTGAAACAAAAAGTGTTCTCTACCTTCATACTATTTTACAGCTCTTCACATAGAGCAGATTCTCTACAGTAGTCAATCAGACAAACAAAAAACAAACAAAAAATAAATAAATATTCAAACATGTAAACAAAGTTGAGTTTTAGTAGTATATGGATAATTGTTATTTTCTGTTTTCTTATTCTTAGACGGACCTGAAGGCGGAATCTTTTCGCTGAACTAAAGCCAACCGGGATGTCTTGTGAGAAGGCAAAATTTAAAGCCGGAGATTGGATGAAATGAAAGGAAATGGTGGAGGTAATATGTTCCAATTATGAGCAAAATGTACTAAGTCAAGTAAGTTATTCATAGAATAATGTTCATTATCAATATGTAACATTGATTTTTTTTAAGAATAACAGGTTCGTAATATTATATAAAATTGAAATAGCATTATAAACAGAAAGTGATATTTCAACGCTAAGGGTAGACCAAGACAGAATATAGTCCAAGTAAATATATAACAGTCAGAAACCCAACGAGATCCGAACCTACCATTCTACGCGGCAACAAATCGCCTCGCGACTGCTATTTCAGTTACAAAGCTTGCTTCCACACCCCACCCCCTCTACATGTTTACACTATGTGTTTGTTTGGAGGGAGGTAAACGGGAAAAAGTCACAGGAAAAAAAAAACAGACAAAAGTCACTGTTTTTATAGGAAAGAAAGTCACATGAAAAAAAGCACTAAGGACATATTTTAGCGGAAAAAAGTAACAGAAATAAAGCAACAGAAAAAAGTCACAAAACGTTTATAGATATATTTTTATTTATATTTAGACAATCGTAACATTTTGTGTTTGTTGTTGTAGGATAATATATTTATATACTTTTAAAACATTAGAGTTTATAACATTAATAAGTAAAAAAAAACTATAAATAAATATACACAGCAATCTCACCTTTCGCTACGTATTTAGTTGAATATGCGGTACAAAAATTAATTACAAAAGAAAGCTAGGCACATAATTGTGTTTTGCATAGGTTTTTGTCTAAGGCTATTCCTTGGGCGGCTTCTCCTCAGTCGGCCTTGTTGGAACATATGTATGTTGTTGATGTTTTGACTCAAACCTTTGTACCAAGTCGGCTTTCTGTTTTGATCCTGTGCTTTATTATGTTGTGATAATTTAAAGTTAACATTTAAAAGCATGAAAATCGAGAACGTTGGAACAATCTATGAAATTATTTTATGTGTAACATAATTACAACCTACTTACTTCATAAAAAATATTTTTTGTGTGTTATAAATATTACTATAATTATACGACATGCACTCTTCATTACATATAATTATAAGATGATTTGTATTGTGAATTTTTTCCTGTGACTTTTTTCTGTTTTTTTTTTCCTTTAACCTTTTTTCCTAAAATCATGGAGGGACGACACGTCTGATACATGGGCAACATTAAAGTTCTTATCTTACTGCCTATGCAATGTGGTTAGATTTCAATGCATCATCCCTTCGACAAAATATTTTCTCATAATTTTCCGTCCTCTATCTCGGTCCTCTGCTGCTTTGAGTAGTTGTGAAACAGGCAGCACAGACTTATTTCAGACGTCATCTATGAGGTTACGTCTTTGCCTTTGCCTTCTTCTCCGTACTCCACCGAATGCGCAATCATCAAAAAATCTATTTGACTATGCAGTCATATTAAACACATTATGTATATGGAAAAAAAATACAAATATAAGTGTATAAATATATATATATATATATATATATATATATATATATATATATATATATATATATATATATATATATATATATATATATATATATATTTATTTATTTATTTATTTATTTATTTATTTATTTATTTATATACAAACTTAGTTTTTTGTGTATTTGTATGATCGATCAAGTGATGACTGTTTTGCACGCCATCTTGTTGCGAAATGCACATGATCAATTATCGCTAAAATTTCTTTTCAACTGCCCACGCGTTTAACATCGGTTTGAAAGTTATAAAAATTTCAGGATTTACCCACCCACATACACACATAACAACGCCCACACGGGTCTAGCTATGTTGTTGCGAAATGCACAGGATCAATTATCCATAAAATTTCTTTCCAACTGGCCACGCTTTTAATATTGTTTTAAAAGTTATAAAAATTGGATGGTTTATCCACCCACATACACAAATAACAAGACACACGCGGGTCTAGCTATACGAAAGTAAATTTTGAACTCAATAACTTCAGCTGAAATAGAAAAAAGCCCCCCCCCCTTCCCAGCAGAAATTACTTTAAAGGCCCCTACCTATACATAAAAATAAATAAATACGAACATACATACATATATATATATATATATGTATGTTCGTATATATATATAAATATATATAAACTAGCGAACCCGTCCCCGCGCGTTGACGCAGGAATAAAAGAAAGTCCGACGAAATATATAAGAAGGGTTTCATCCATGCGTTACCAACCCTATATTCTTAGACTCGCGACCTTGTTTTCTAAAACTGAGGTATTTAAATGTAAACAATGCCTGCGCTTGGATCATAAATATCGGGACACGGGATTACCTACACTACCGCATGAAACCTTGAGTGTACGTTAATCACTCACCGAAATAATATGGTAGAACTCACTTCGGTGACCGCCCATGTGTCAGGGACGTAGAGGGGCGCTCTCAGGAGCCCCCCCCCTCCCGATTACACTACCACATAGGTGCCGCGTACTGCCCATGGCTCCTTAAAACTAACAGACGCCATCGTGCCAAATAGCATCCTGTTAACAATGATACAGATTGCGTCATTCGCTAAAGTGACACAAATAAACAGGATTTTTTTTCCTTTAACACGTAAAAAATTATTGGACGTGTTTTAAACATCAGTGTGACTGATGCAATATGTAATCGTTACTAATGTTCTATTATTAGATGCTCGGTGTAAATTCTGATTGGATTGTCTAAAAATAGATGCTAATTGCATCTTTCTCAACGTGACTAAACTATTTGGATTTCTTTTTCTGACAAAAAGAAACATCCCAGTTAATAATCTAACCTTGGCTAATTTTTCTATTATTAAAATGAAACGTATTACACCGACCAATCCTGATCCAGATAGAAACATCAAACAGGCCAATTGAAGCCTACCCCCGCCCTAGATGGAACTACAAAAAAGCTAATTGGGAGCTCTTCTCTTCCCTCACAGACTCCTACACAAGACCAATCAACTGTAAAACCAAACAGGTGAACAAGTCATACACAGCCTTCTCAAAAGCAGTTCTGTTAGCAGCCAAAAAATCTATTCCAAGGGGAGCAAGGAAAAATTATATCCCAAACTGGACTCCAGACCTCCAGATACTCCATGACGAGACAATTGATGCTAGAAACATTGTTGAAGAAAATCCCACAGTAGAAAATAACATAAAATTAAAATCAGCAAACGCAGTTTTTTAGAAAAAAGTATCTAACTGCATTGAGGAAAAGCTGGCAAGAAAAAACAGAACACCTCAATGTAGATAGAGATGGTCATAAACTATGGAGTATTGCAAAAAGGCTAAACCAAGAAGAAAACAGAGCTACTCCCATAGTCATCGACATTGAAAACACGATCAAAACAGAAAAGGATGCAGCAAAAGAATTTATAACCCACTTCAGCAAAGTGGGACAAATAAATATCAGCCACCAAAGAGTAGAAGAGGTTAAAAATCAAACTGAAGTTAAGGAAAAACTACAGAAAGTCTCTCCCCCCTCCTCCACTGGAATGGTAGCTCGAATTAGCAAGAAGGAGCTCGGAGAAGCAATGAAGCTCCTCAAACTTAAGCAAGCTCCAGGCCCTGACAAAATCTCAAATGATATGCTCATGCACCTGGGCCCCAATGCTAAGAAAAAACTGCTCCAAATATTTAATGCAAGCTGGAAATCTGGGAAAATCCCAAATATTTGGAAAAAAGCAATCATGATACCTGTTCTAAAAATAGGAAAACCCAGGAACAAAGTCGATAGCTATCGCCCAATAAGTTTAACAAGCTGCATTTGTAAACTGATGGAAAGAGTAGTAAACAACAGACTGACCTGGTTTCTAGAATCGAACAATCTACTAGCAGACGAACAGGCAGGCTTCAGGAAGTGCAGATCTACTGAGGACCAAATCACCTTCATTTCTCAGGAAATAGAAGATGGCTTTCAAGAAAAAAAACCAACCTCAATAGTGTGGGTCGACTTTGAAAAAGCCTTTGACAAGGTTTGGGAGCAAGGCTTAATTCTAAAGCTAATAAATCATCAAGTATCTCATAACATGCTAAACTGGATAAAAGGTTACCTAAGCAACCGAAAAGCATCAGTCTCCATGCAAGGAAAAAGAAGTCACACAGTAACTATAAAAAATGGAGTCCCTCAAGGAGGAGTCTTGTCTCCTACTCTCTTCCTCATTTATATAAATGACTTAAATGAAAACATCCCAAGGAGAGTAAAAAGAAGCATGTTTGCAGACGACCTTTCACTAATCAGCACAGAGGAATATATTGGTACCTCAAAATTTCGTCTTCAAGAAACACTTGACAAGCTCGGCAAATGGACCAAAAACTGGGGCTTATCCATCAATACCAAGAAAACAACTTATTCAATCTTCACCTTATCTACTAAACATCAAAAAATGAAACTTACCCTAGAAAACCAAGAGCTAGAAAAAAATGACCACCCCAAATACCTAGGAGTCACTTTTGACACTCGACTTACCTGGAGAAAACAAATAGAAAACACACAAAGTAATGGGATCAAAAGACTTAATCTAATGAGGAAACTGGCAGGAACAGACTGGGGAGCAAATCACCACATCCTGAAAAAAACCTACACCAGCTATGTGAGACCTACGTTAGAATATGGTGCTTCGGCTTGGGGCTCAGCAGCAAAAACAAATATTTGCAAAATTGACAAAGTTCAGAACATTGGATTGAGAATAATGACAGGAGCCATGAAAACAACACCCATAAAAGCTATGGAGGAAATAGCCGCTCTTAGCTCAATAGAAGAAAGAAGAGAATCAAAAATCCTCACTCAATACACAAAGCTAGAGGCACTGGAAAACCATAACCTAAAACAAAAACTCCAGAAACCCAGTCCATCAACCAGACTACAAAGAACAAGTTTCATCAAAGAAGCAAAGAATCTGAAAAAGAAATATGAAATCGAAAATATCATTCCTGAAGCAATAAAAACTCAAAACCTCTCCCCGCCTTGGATCTCCCACTGTCACTTAACCATTATTGACTCAATAGACACCATAGGAAAAAAATCTGACTATGATCTAGAAGAACTTAAGAAAATAACAAATAAACACATTAAGGATCAGTACCCCAGCAACACCTGGATTAGAGTTTTCACAGATGGCTCAGCTGAAGATGCCACAAAAAACGGCGGGGCTGGCATCCTTATTGAATGGCCAAGCGGAGAAAGCCTGGAAAAGGCAATAGCCACAGGCAGCCTATCCGACAATTTTAGGGCAGAAAAAGAAGCTTTAGAACACGCAGCAAACCTCCTGTCAGAACACCCTGAATCACCGAATAGTCAGATTGTATTTCTTACAGATGCCAAATCAGTCCTGCAATCCCTACAAAATCCGGAGTCCTATATTCAAACACTTATGACAGCACTAGAGAGGCTAAAAAATACCTGCAGCAGAATTGTGCTGCAGTGGATCCCGGGCCACTGCCAGATCCAGGGTAACGAGATCGCAGACCAGCTGGCAAAAATTGGGGGGAAAAAACCACAACCGGAAATTTCGCTACACCCAAAAGAAATAAAAAGAATAATTAAAAACAAACAAACGCAAATGTGGTCTGTCACACACCCTCACTACATTAAAGACGACGGCTATTACAATTTAACACGAAAACAACAATACATAATCTTTCGACTCAGAACAGGCCACAACAGACTAAATCAACACATGCACAAAAAACTGAAGGTTGGGTGTAGCGAAATGTGCCCTTGTGGCAAGGCCCCGGAAAACACAGAGCACGTACTCCAGGAATGTACTCTGTATAGCCAGGCAAGAGGCAGACACTGGCCCCAGCCCACCCCACTCAGGGAAAAATTATATGGGACACCTGACAAACTGGAAACCACAGTCCGGTTTGTCCACGAAGTTGGACTTGTTGTCTGAATCCTCCACCATAATTCAAAAATTAAGAACGAAGAAGAAGAAGACATGGCCCTCAGCGGCCCATGTTAGCGTTTGGGGGCAGAAACAGACATTTTTATTTGCAGCCTAATCGCACCCTACCAGGGTGCCAAAGACACGCCTGATTCAATTTTGAAAGCGTTTGTAACACCCCATAGGGTCTACGACAAATTCCCGAAAGACACTTGCCTGAATGCTGTTTGCCCGACGGCCGATTTCCCGAATGGACTCGTGCCCGAATACGACAAATGCCCGAATGGACACTTGCCCCAATGCGACAAATGCCCGAATGGACACTTGTCCGAAGGCGACAAATGCCCGAATGGACACATTTTTATTTACCGCATATTGAGAAAAAATAATCACGCCCTGCCGGGGCGCCAGTGCTGCAAGTTTAAAATGTGTTTTGCGCAGAAACCTCTCCAGGAATATTCTCAACATCTTTCCAAAGTTTCATGGTGATCTTGTGAACGGTGTCACGGTAATTCACTTTTATTATTTTTATAGACCGTATAAAGAGAAAAATAGCACCCTCCCGTGGCACCGCCCATGCTAAATTAAAAATGATTTTTTTTTTTACAGAACCCTTCCCCAGAGTGTTCTTATGAACTCACCAAAGTTTGATGGCGTTCCTCCCCTGCGAATTTAATATAATTTTTTTCTCAGAACCCCCCCCCCCCCCCCTCAACAACTTCCCAAAGTTTCACGGCGATGTGATAAGAGGTGTGGTAATGCATACAAGACACACGCACATACATTGCTTTTTGTATATATAGATAGATATATGTGTGTGTGTATGTGTGTGTTTATGTATGTAAATTTATATTCATATGTTTAAGTCGATATTGCTATTGCCTCTATTATGCAAACAACTTTATTCATGTATGTATTTCTAAATATTTATATTATTTTCAGAATTATAATGATCATGTTATTTAAAAACTGTAACATAAATCTGTAAACGTATATTTCCTTAGAAAATCAATATTATTTACATAGCTGAGCTTGACGGGAAACATTCACTTTGTTGTTAAATTTTATCAACTTCTTTCATTGCTATAGATCCTACATTAAAATGCGTTTGTGCTTAGCAAGTTAAACGTTGGATTACAATATTCGATCTAGTATTTTATTACTTGTAGGCTATAGAAAACATTACTTCAAATATTGATTGGTTTTTGCCCGCAGTCTTTTTACTTTCTCGTATATACGAAGTATAGAGAAAGTATTGTAATCATGCAAAGAAAAATAATCGAGATTTTTACAAATCTCGACGTTTTACACCTCACTGATACGGAAAAACATAATTTTTCAATCTTGTCCGTAGGTCTGTGTGTCTGTGTGTCTGTCTGTGTGTCAACACGATAACTTGAGTACCTTTACAGCTAGGTTGATGAAATTTCATATATAGGTATTTTATCAAAATCGAAGATCCGTATCAACTTTTGAGAGATTTCCGATAACCGGAAGTGGTACTTTTTCTATTTTGAATTTTTCAAAAGCCTATAACTTGAGAACTATTTCAGATAGATAAATGAAATTTCACATGTAATTAAAACATCTAATTCTCTACCTTCTGTCAAAGTTTGAGTAATTTACGTAGATCGGAAGTACTAATTTACGCTATTTCCGATTTCTCAAATAACGCATGTAAATTTATAAAGTTCTGTAAAAAAGTCCTTTTTTAATTTCGCACGGGCGGCGCCACGGGCGGCTGCGATTTTTCTCTATATACGGTTTATAAAATTTCGGTTTTACACCGTTCATCCGTGTACCGTGAAACTTCGGGGAGATGATTAGATAACTCAATGGTAGGGTTCTGCAAAAAAAATTGTTTAATATTGCAAGGGCAGCGCCCCCCGGGGGGGGGGAGCGATTTTTGTTTCTCTATACACGGTATATAAAAAATAAAACTCGGATGCGGTTCATCCGAGTGCCATGAAACTTTAAGGACTAGATGAGAATACTCCCGAGAATATTTCTGCGAAAAAGAAAACTAAAGTTTCTTACGGGCGGCGCCATATAGGGTACAACTTTTGTCAATACACGGTTTGGCGCCCAGAGTTTTAGGGCGACTAAGTTGGCACTTGGCATCCGTTAATCGAGCGTCCTGCATAGCGAGTAAGGGGTACTACTATATTCAGCGGTAAAACTACAACAGGCTTCTAAAAATAACTTTGTAACGCGAGGAAATCCTTCTGTACAGTTTCGTCGCCTTGCGAAAGATGAAAAAATAACTTTTTGAATATGAGGAGCCTACTGTAGAGTTTCGTCACTTTGCGAATGATGCAATAAGCATCTATTATTAGACAATCCAGTCAGAAATTGAGATCGAGCATCTAATAATAGACCATTAGTAACGCTAGCATATTGCATCAGTCACACTGATATTTAAAACACGTCAAATAATTTTTTACGCGTTAAAGAAAAAAATCCTGTTCATTTGTGTCACGTTAGCGAATGACGAAATCTGCAACATTATTAACAGGATGCTATTCGGCCGATGGCGCCTGTTATTTTTAAGGAGCCAGGGGTCGTATGCCGCGCCGATGCGGTAATGTAATCGGGGGGTGGGGGCCCTGATAGCGCCGTCTCCGTCTCTGACACAGAGGCGGTCACCGAAGTGTGTTCTACTATATTATTTCGGTGAGAGATTAATGTACACTCAAGGTTTTCATGCGGTAGTGTCTGTAAACCCGTGTCCCTATATTTATGATCCAAGAACAGGCATTGTTTACATTTAAATAACTCATTTTTAGAAAAGAAGGTCACGCGTCTAAGAACATATAATTATAATTGATAACGCGTTGGTGAAATCCTAATATATTTCGTCAAACT